ACGAGATACTTTGTGTCCAGTGTGCTTTGGGTCTGGCATCCAGGCTAGTTCTGGGAATGCTGCCTGCACATGTACTCTGTCATGAAGTCCAATGTCTTGGACAGCTGGAGACCTCCTGCTGTTATACCACTGGGAAAGGAAGGCTTCCTCCAGTTGAAGGATTTGTAGCCTTGCCCCTGACCTTAAAACATCAAAGATCATTCAATATCCTTGTTTATTCAACTTCTGGGAGACCCTCCAGGTTTTTCACTGATGAGCATGACAAGCACACAAGATCCCACACTGCCTCATCAACTAAAAATTGGCCTTTTTTATGACAAGCTCTGCAAGATGTCTAGAGTCTAGAGCTAGAAGTTCAAGGGTTAGGTGTAACAAGTCGATCGGTGTAATATAGCCAGCTGCCGCCACGCCGCGTGCCTGCGAAGCTGGTGTGTTACGCCGAAAGGCGGTTATACCGGCTATACAGATACAGATACAGATACAGAAGATATGATTTTTTCTCCTCTGCTGTTTGTAAAAATCTTGCAAAAGTGCAAGTTTTTTGAGAGATGTTGTCAAAATGCTTCGTGTGTGGGAGACTGAATGTTTTTAGATCCTGCAATGTTGTATATTATTCTATCCCATGACGTGGACAGAGTTAGTTTATACATCGCCATTCCCCTGTTCCCTTATTGATCGCGAAAGCTAGCTGCACTTTGTAGTTTGCACCATGTTCAGTTGTGTGTAAACAGTCTGGCAAATATGTTTAATATTCCCATTGCCATATCACAGAAAATCGATCTACGACATTTACATTAAGCAATATCGATTGAATACCTTTACACTCGAAATGCCAAGATCACATTTAGCCTTGAATACATATCATAATTTCACAGTTCATATCTCTAGATCTAGCTTGAGTGTATACTTAGTACATTTGTTGTGGTAAAGATAAAAGGTTCAGTAGGGGATACTTGATGAAAATTCGGCCTTGATTGTACATTCTGTACACATGTCCCAGCCTGCCTGGCACCCGAGATCACAAGGTTCCCACACTGTATGTATCGTCTTGAATGGCCACTTGAAAGGCCATTTGTTGCATTATTGTTGGGCCCGCTTGGCAAGACAAAGTACTCTCAAAACAGTGGTGGTAGGCTTGCCCTTTGGTGGTCTTTTCAACTCTCCCTTATTCAACGTTAGATAAACATATGATCATGTACTTGCAACAGGGTTAGTGGGGGATGCATAGAATTCCGTAGCAGTATTGGTTGGGAAGAGATCTGGTGAAGAGGGTGTATATGGAGTACATAGTCTGCAGTGTACTATGCTTGTCCGTTCTGTTGTTGCAACAGTTTAATAGGCAGCTTCTTTTCATGAGTGAAACCTCAAACCTGAAACACGTGAAACTAAAACCATGTTTCCCCTGAAAAACAAGGTGATGGGCTGTTGGTGCCTTTATCAGAGGAGTAACTGATCACCTTGTGAATCATTCAGCCCCTCCCCTACAATAAAAACAAAAAATAACAACATAAAACAGTGTGCTTCTTTAGAAAAAAATTTACCTCATTCCATACAAAGCTCAGATCCTATATGTTTTGATAGGGAAATGTTGCATTCTACGATCAATACGTGTTGACAAGTGGTGGAGAGTGTTGCTCTGAAGACAGGAAACCAGCAGTTGAAACTGATATTCCCAGCATTTTCAGCTTGAGGTGATTACAAATGCTAGACAGGAAATCTGGCATGGAATTTCGGGCTGTTTTAATGAATTCGGGGAAGAGAAGTTCGGGTATGCCAAAGGAATGTCTGTTTGGAGCATTATTGGAATTCGTATTGATTCCTAGAATCCCTTTCATTTTGTATAAATGAACTATTAAACAACTTGCTCTGTAACCCCAGTAAATTTACATTGTATGTATGCCACGGTCAAGTAGGTATATTTTACAAACTTGAAAATTTTGTCTAACTACCACTAGTAAATTAGAGCAATTCAAAGGGCCTACATGTAGAGCACATTATTTACATTATGCCTCTGTATGTTTCTTTTCTTTTTGTTGATACACATCCACCATGCTGTGCCTTTCACACCCTTACAGATAACACCACATTGCTGCATCTGTTGCCACACTTGGAAGTTTACTGGTCGTTTGTGTACGTTTTCTGTCACTACAGTCCCTTTCACACCTACTCGCGACATCACTTCTTCTAATTGATGTGTCAGCTTTGGCACTTGGCCCAACGAGCTAATTTACTTTCCTAAACAGGAAGCTACAAAAGGACATGTTGTGCTCAATGTTGACTTCTCAAATACTTTGGTACATAGAGCAAAGATAACTTTGCAATTTCGCAGAGAAACTCCATGTAAATAAATGGAGTAAAAAGCAGATATGATTTTTCGAAAACAACATGCGTGTGCGTGTATGTTCTTTGAACCACCTTGGGTCAATGGGGTCAAAGCAAACTTGACAACACAAAGGCTAGAAGTATGAAGCAGGTACACATGTACTTATGTAGCCCTGGAGGCACATTTTCTGCAACATAGACAACATTGTTACTTTGTGTATACAATTTGTGTCAGTACTCACTCACAATGCTACCACAGCTGGTAGCTTTGTTACAGTGTGTACAAGTATTGGGAAGATTTCATACAACTACATGTACATGTATATTATATATACAGTGATCGATAGACATTTCAGTATGGCCAAGAATTGTAACTTGGAATATAATAACCAACAAGCCTAGCCAACCGTGGTAAATATACCTACCTACGGAATTCAACAAATTCAATGTAACAGGATTTCGAAGCTAAGCCCACAAAACCTTGTGAAAATAGACCATACACCAACATAAAGCTCTTGCCTGTGTGGGTTCTCCTCCCTTGTCTTGTAGATATGTGACATGCCAAGATGAAACGTTTGGGCACTTACTGCAGTCAGAATTCCCTGTAAGGTTCCTAATGTCTTCTTAAGGTCAGACTTTTAAGCTAAGAAAGGGCTCGACATCGGAGACTTAGACACCCTGTACACTACAGTATGAAAATTGTTAGACAGCCTGACCTTACCTCCACTCCACAGCTATGTGCAAACAAACAGTTTGTGTGCCTTCACAGCCAATTGCCAGAAGATTAAGGTGCCGAAAAGGGCCTAATTTGGACGTGCAGTCAACATGGGAACGCCTGCCCCTGCCGAACCACTAATTAAGTCTCATACTTTGGATGTTTGAAGGTCAAGTTCGTGACAACAGACACACACAGAAGGGGCCTTTTCAAGGAACTATCATTTAGAGTTACATATCTGTAATACTGTATGTCAGGCAGTCAGGCTGTGTTGGCATTATAATTTGTATGTATACCATACTGGCTTGTAACAATGTTAGCTAGGAACCTTTTTTCACCTAACTGTCCATGTTGCTAATGAAATTACATACACAGCATTATTTCCTGTCTGTATACTTTAACCCACATATTTGATACTGTCTAGACAGTTGTCCAACTATTCAGAGAAATAGAAAATCCATGAGTGCTGGGACAACATATGGATACCAGGTGCTATCGAGCATGAATACCATAACATCATAGTTTCATGGTGCATTCTTCAAGGGGTTGGATAAAAGCATACCTCAGTAAATATATACACAGTTCTGGTAGACCCAGGCCACATGGTTGGAGACACTACTTGCACATTGCCCAAAGTCCAGCATAGTGAGAGTAAAATTTACACACTCTTAACACTTAAATTTTAGCTCCATTGCAGTAAAAAAGAAGCCAGGCTAATATATCAGCCGTTATCAACAATTGCAGAATTTTCTTTTTTTTACAAATGAGAAAGACTGATGTGAAACATAAAATGGAAAGATATGCCTTCCACATCTACAAGACGATTGGTGAAAGTGCACTCAACATTCACTTTCATCTAGCTAGGAGATTGCCACACATACAACAGTCATTAGCTACCTTTATCATTCTGTAGTCGACATCCTAAAACCCCATTCCTCTTTTGCAGTAAAAAAAAGGATTGTATCCTTTTGATAAGAAGGGAAAACATGTAGATATCCATCAAGGAAAGGGGAGAGAGTGCCAGATGCTCCCATGGGAGAAAAGTCAGTTATCACTGATATCTCCAGAAGGGGAACTACAAACACTTCTCTTTTGTGTGAATTCACGTAAAGCTGTTTATGCCATTACACCTTCTATACATTAAACTGTATTCGCCGACACGCGCAATAGTAGCTCACAGAAATGAAAGCATTTTTAGTACCCACTTTGCGTGACAGTTTTAATGTGAAACGCTGCATTATTCTAAGTCAAATGCTCTCAATGTCAGAGGCAGCAAATGGAAACGGCTGTCTTTTATCTACAGTGAGAGAGATCGGTGTACAAGGCTTTTAGAGTGGGGGTACCACGCATCGGGCTTAGGTGCGCGTAGTGTACATAATGCGCGTATACACGGTGAATAGCTTTGTGAATCGACGAGGAATAATAATGGATTTACTATTTTACGTGGATGTAGTCCCCTCAAGCCTGTGTTTTGTAAACACTCGGTGCACAAGCAGGTCTTCAACAAGGTGGCACAGGGAGGGTGGGCCATTCTTGGAATTGTTTTGGGGTGCTGCACTCAAAATAGCGGACGACAACCATACCATAACACTGTCACATCACATGCCCCGATTATAAATGCTTTTTCTCCTGAACATTTCAGGATCCTATTTCAATGGCTAAATTCCACACAATAATTATACAGCCACCAACCACACGTACTTATTGTATGATAAATGTACCTTAAATCTATTTCCAATGTACACAAAAAAAACCGTAAGTTACAATGTTTACGAAATTGATGTGAGAAATCTTACGACTATCCGACAAATCCGATCAATAAATTCGCACCACGTCCCTATCCAAATACTAAACCGTGCTCATCCACTAAGATATATTTGATGAGCCAGGGTATGTGTTTGTTCATATCTTTATATAGAACGGATATTAAGTTTGCAGAAAGTTGAAGGGTAACCTGGCTGACCTGAGGAATTCTTGTAGACATGTGTCACAGAAGCGGTGTCCACACGTCGTGATCTGTACGGGGTCGTTCATGGGGAGGTGGCACAGTGGGCAGAGCCAGCGCCGCCGGACGCGGTCCGCGAACGTGTGCTGCAGTCCCGGCATGGTAACGGGGCGGTCCTCGGTGGTCTGTCCGCTCTACAACCGACGGAGATGCGTGGTGAACACGTAACGACGGTGTTACAGTATCTCTGGCGCAGTGTTTCAGCTAGGCCGCTCCGCCTACACACTTCCGTACGAGTGACTGTACAAGTGTACAAGCTGATGATGTAGTCATGAAATGCGGACGGTTTCATTATAGAAATAGGGAGGAAATGTAGTAAAAGAATAGCTGTACTTTAGATTATTGGTTCAAAACTCAATTATTACAGCGGATATAATTTTCATCATATTTATTATATAAACAAGTATCATGAGACATATTACTTGGCTCTGAATGGGGTTTATTCACTTAAATATGCGATATTATTTTCTCACCAACCCCTCTGAATGGTACAGACCGAAGCTAATTGTTGCACCTTCCACCAATGGGACAGCGGGATTTTCGGCTTGGGGTGAAATTTGGCACCCTTAATATAATACAGGAGGGCGTGTGGGGGCTATCCCACAAAATCAAACAGACCCCGGCCGGAAAAGGTGGGGTTGTTTTCACAGAACCGATCCCACAGACCCACTTTTTCTCTTACTTTTAAGAACAAAAGCATTTTTTTCCAGAAAGATCTATTTATCCATGGTTGAAATGTGCCTTTCCTCGACTGAAATTTACTTTCTCATATACACAGCTAGTTAGGTCGTATGTATGTATGTATGTATGTAGCTACTACTAAATTCATAGGAAGACCTCCTTGCTTGGGCTTTAGCAAGGAGGCTGTGGCAAGGAGGTTAACCTCTTTGGTTTTAGCAATTAATTTGGGACCACAAAGCACATTCCTGTTGACCACGTTTTTACAGCCATGACAGAAAAAAAGTCATGTTTCATCATGAAACGGATGTTTGTGTACTCTCCAAGCAGAGGTTGGTGGGGGAAGATCGTCACCGTTTTATATATGCCTCGTTTTTTTTTGTGGTGGGGGGCGACAAAAAAAAA